AAAAAAAAAAAAAAAAAAAAAAAAAAAAAGACAAAACCCAAAAGAACAGGACTTCCAGATGGCAGAATGCTGAACAGTAGAGAAACAGCCTCTCTGAGTTTTGGTGTCCAGACACTGGAATGTAGCAACATGAAGAGAAGAAGGAGGGGGGTTGGTTCCTGAGACCCAGCAAGGATCTGAAGTGAAAACAGAAGCCCAGAGGGAGTGAGGAGACAGACCTCAATGCAGAAGGAGAAGGTGGGAAGTGGCACGTTCTCCCTGAGCCCTGACTCACTGCGTGAGAGGGGCGGCTTGAACCTGCAGACGCACAGTGACTACTGGTGACCCAGAGGCCTCCACAGAGAAACACACCAGTGGAACAGAGCAGTGGACGCAGCAGCTTGGAGTGGCTGGTGAGTTATTCAGGTGTGGGTGTCTCCCAGGAGAGGGCATTGGTTGGTAGCCATCTTGGAGAGGGGCCGACTGAGCTCAAAACACAAAGCAGCCGTGGGATGGCTCTGTCAGGGTGAGGTGGAACTGAGTTCAAGTCAGCAGGAGTTCAAGGAGCTGAATTCAAGTAGGCAGGAGGCACACAGAGTGCTGCAAACAAAAAAACAAGTTCCAGCCTCACAGCCAGAAACCAGCCTGAACTTCAGAGGAACTAAAGATACAGCCTTGCTGGGATTATCCACTACCCCACCATAAATCTATGGCTGGCTTGCAGGGATTAATCCACATGGATCTGGGCTCTGTCTGCTCAAGCTGTCTACCAGTGACAGCAGAGACATGCCTTGAAGTGAATACTTTTTCTTCTTTATTTTTCTTTTCTTTGTTTTTTTATTGATTGTTTTTGTTTTTATAAGTGTGAATTTTGTTTCTAGTTTTTTTTTTTTGGTTTTTTTTTTTTTTACATGTGTCTTATTTATTTCACTTAAGAGTATGGCCTCAATATGCATCCATTTAGCTATGAATGACTCTAGTTTCTCATTCTTTATCTAGTTATTTGTTATTGTTGTTCTGTTCTTATTTTTATTTCTGTCTTCTCCCTTTCCCTCCTATCTTTCACCAGTTCCCCATAATCTTCTTGTCCTCTAGCTGCTTCTAATCTCTTCCTCTACTTCTATTTCTCTATCTTCCCCCAACCCCTTTTAAATTTTCTTTCCTGAATGTAAAATTGCCAATCTTCAATGTTATTATATTACCACAAATACAGTTCATATGGTTAAAGGTGGCAAATTAATAGTTATAAGTTTGTTACTTTCTAAGCTGTATTCGATGCTATTGTCATTGCTCGTTGTATTACTTTAGCCAAGGGGACATACTTGTTCTAATTAGTTGTTCTCCCTGGTATGCCAAGACTGAGATTGCCTTGAGGGCCATAAACAATACTATAGGCTAATGCCAAAGAACCAGGGGCTAGGCCAAATAGCCAGCAACTTCTCATCCCCAATATATTGAAGAGGGATTGTGCAGCAGACTCAAAACCCAAAAGCCAGCTACACGTGGAAGACATCTCCGAGAAGTAGCCATTTCCTAAGAGTTCTAAATACTAGCAGTAAAGCTACCTGCCATAAGCAATTTACAAGCATCAATTTTGGAATTAAACTAAAAACATATATAAAATCAGTAGACACTTAAGCAAAATTCAACCCAGACTTCCAACTCGCCAAAGGCAAATGGGGCTGGAAAAACTGGCTTTCCACATGCTGAAGATTAAAACTAGACCCATATCTCTTCCCACACACTAAATTAAGATAGAAATGGATCAAAGATCTAAATATTAAAGCAGAAACACTAAATCTGCTGGAAGAGAGACCAAGTAACTCTCAAAGACATCAGTGTAGGCAAACACTTTATGAACAAAACGCTGATCACACAGGAAATATCACAAAGAATCAACAACTGGGATCTCATCTTATTAAAAAGCTTTTGTACAGCCAGAGAAACCACCAACAGAGTGAGAAGACAACCCATAATGTGGGGGGAAAATTGCTGGCTGTTCCTCAGACAAAGGTCTAATATCCAGAATATATAAAGAACTGAAAAAAATTGCCCCCCCCAATAAGCAATTTACAAGCATCAATTTTGGAATTAAACTAAAAACATATATAAAATCAGTAGACACTTAAGCAAAATTCAACCCAGACTTCCAACTCGCCAAAGGCAAATGGGGCTGGAAAAACTGGCTTTCCACATGCTGAAGATTAAAACTAGACCCATATCTCTTCCCACACACTAAATTAAGATAGAAATGGATCAAAGATCTAAATATTAAAGCAGAAACACTAAATCTGCTGGAAGAGAGACCAAGTAACTCTCAAAGACATCAGTGTAGGCAAACACTTTATGAACAAAACGCTGATCACACAGGAAATATCACAAAGAATCAACAACTGGGATCTCATCTTATTAAAAAGCTTTTGTACAGCCAGAGAAACCACCAACAGAGTGAGAAGACAACCCATAATGTGGGGGGAAAATTGCTGGCTGTTCCTCAGACAAAGGTCATATATCCAGAATATATAAAGAACTGAAAAAAATTGGACCCCCCCCAAATTGAAAGACCAAGTCCAAAAATGGACATCTGAAATGAATGGAGATTTCTCAGATGGAGAGGGAGATATGGCAAATAAATACATTAAAAAATAAAATATATTAAATATATTTGAAAATGTTCAACGTCACTGATCATTTGAGAGATGCAAATAAAAACAACACAGCAGTTCTGTTTCACCCCAGAAAGAATGGCTGCTATCAAGAAATCGACCAATAACAAATGCTGGCGGGGCTGTGGGGAGAAAGGAGCCCTTCTCTGCTGCTGATGGGCGTGCAGACTGGTGCAGCCACTATGGAAATCAGTGTGGAGATTCCTCAAAAAACTAAAACTAGAGGTTTCATTTGACCCAGCTATTCCCTTCTTGGTATCTTCCTAAAAGAATTAAAAGGATCACGCCACAGTGACATATGCACACCCCTGTTAATGGCAGTACAGTATGTAATACCTAAATCTTGGAAACAGCCCAAATGCCCATCAACTGATAAATGGATAAAGAAGATGTGTTTTTTTTTTTAATGCAATGGAGTACTACTGTGCTGTAAAGAGGGATCTAATACATCGGGCACACATGTTTAAATACTGCACTGTTTCTCTGGTGTGAAAAACTGAAAGTATAAGTAAGGACTGAAACATATAAGAGATATTGGGGGATGGGCAGCAAATATTCAAATGAGAAGGAGAACCAGGGAAGGGAGGGACAAGAAAAAAAGAGACTGGAAAAAATGGAAACAAAGCTTTTGTAAGTAAAGGGGGGAAAGAGGTTGAAGGGAGGGGAATGGGGAAAAAACAGTATATCAAGTAAAGGTACAAATTCCTATGATAAATGTGACCATTATGTATATCTAAAATGTACCAATAAAAAAGTAAAGTTTGAAGCAAGTTGGGGAAAAGGTGTGAACATTTTTTTAAAAAAAAAATACAGGAACCTGGGCCGGGGATTTGGCTCAGTGGTTCTGCTGAGTGCCTTGCAAGCACAAGGGCCCGAGTTCGAGCCTCAGTACCAAAAAAAAAAAAAAAAAAAAAAAAATACAGGT